CACAATAGCAAGGAGTTGGAAACAACCTAAGTGCCCATCAACAAACGAATGGCTAGAGAAGCTGTGGTATATTCGCACAACAGAATACTATGCTGCATTAAAAAACAAGGAACTCATGCAATATTACTCAAAATGGTTGAAAATGTGCTTTTCATTCAACAATTCATGTATGTATTTTTATTTGTGACTTTGTTCATAATTCTCAACATTTCCCCCTCTCATTATTATTTCCCAATTTCCTCCCTGTGTCCACTGCTTTCATTTGTCCTTCATACCTATAAGATTTACCGTTGGGCATATTGCCCTTTTGATTTTGTATGACTTACTGTGTAATGAGTACTAAAGTAAAAGCATACCATGTACCTCAATGGTGTCACTGTTCACTTTCTGGGTATATTATTTAGCTCAAATTGAGCCTTGAAATGAGTTAATTTCTAGGGTAAAAGGATGTCTAGGGGTCATAGTTTCAGGATTCCAACATTCTCTAGTAGACCTGCAAGACTAACTTTTTTTTTTTAAGACTTCTTGTTGTTACGTGCCATTGAGTCACCTGCAACTCATAGCAATCCTATGTACAACAGTCCTAAAACCTTCTCATCCCTTGCAAATCTTATTGTCTCGGACACACCTATCCCATTACCCCAGTGGCTGAATCAATCCATATAACTGAGGGTCTTCCTCTCCTGTGCAGTCTCTTCACCCTCCCAAGCATGACATACCTCTGTAAGGACTGATTCTGCCTTAAACATGTGCAAAGTATGTCAGATGAAGCTTCAGAATCTTTGCGTCCATGGAGTGGCCTGGCTTCACCATCTCCAGGATGAACTTGTTTGTTCGAAAATTTCTATAATCTTAATCTCTTCACCATCCATCCTGATGCTGCCAATTGGCCCAGTGGTGAGAATCTTTATTTTCTTGATATTGAGCTTCAATCCATATTGAAGACTGCAGTCCTTGACCTTTCTGCAGCAAGTGTTTCAGGTCCTCCTCAGTTTCAGCAAGTAAGGTTGTGTGATCTGTATAAAGCAGATTATTGATGAGTCCACCTCCAATCCTAATGCTACACTTCTCCTCATAGAGCCCACACTCCTGGATAATCTGTTCTGCATATAAATTGAAAAGATATAGAGATAAGACGCATCCTTGATGTACACCCTTTCCAATTTTGAACCATGCAGTGTTTCCTTGCTCTGTTCTGATGACTGCCTCTTGGTCCTAGTATAGGTTTCGCATAAGCACAATCAAGTGTTCTGGGATTCCCATTCTTCTTAAAGTCAGCCACAGTTTATGATACAGTCAAATGCCTTTGCATAGTCAATGAAACACAGACAGACATTCCTCTGGTAATCTCTGCTTTCAGTCAAGATCCATCCGACATTAGCTATAATATCCTTATTGCTATGGCCTCTTCTAAATCCAGCCTGTGTTTCAGGCAGTTCTCTGTTGATATGCTATTCCAGTCATTTTTGGATAATCTTCAACAGAATCTTGCTTGCATGTGATGTCAATGATACTGTTCGATAATTTCCACATTCTGTTGAATCATCTTTCTTTGGAATGGGAATAAATATAGATCTCTTCCAGTCACTTGGCCAGGTGGTTGTCCTCCAGATTTCTTGGCACAACTTGTGATAACATCCAGGGCATCATCTGTTAAAATATGTCAATCGGTATGCCATCAATTCCTGGGGCCTTGTTTTTCCCCAATTCTTTCAGAGCAGCTTGAACTTCTTTCTTCACCAAGACAGGCTCTTGCTCTTATGTTGTTTCATGAAATTCTTTTGTGTCCACCAATTCCTTTTGGTACAGTGACTCTGTATACTCTTTCCATCTTCTTTTAATGTTTCCTGGATCAATAATACTCTGCCCAAAGCATCCTTAAGTATTGCAACTTGAAGTTTGAATTTGTTCTTCAGTTCTTTTAGCTTAAATGATGAGCAAATTTGGCTCTTTTGATTTTCTGGCTCCAGCTCCTTGCACATTTCATGTAATACTTTACTTTGTCTTCCCACACTGCCCTCTGGAATCTTCTGTTCAACTCCTTAATATCTTGATTTCTTTCCTTTGCTTTGGCTTCATAGCGCTCTAGTGCAATATTTGGAATTTCTTCTGACATTCATCTTGGTCCTTTCCTCCTGTCTTTGTAATGACCTTCTGCATTCTTCCTGGATGATATTATTGATATTCTCCCACAACTCTTTGGGTATTTACTCATTAATGTCCAAGACCTCAAACGTGTTCCTGAGATGGTTTTGAAATTCAGGTGGGATAGACTCAAGGTCAAATATTGGTTCCTGTGGATTTAATTTTCCTCAGCTTCAGCTCGAAGTTGCATATGAGTAGTTGGTGGTCTGTTGCACAATCAGCACCTGACCTGGTATTCACAATTGATATTGAACTTCTCCAGCAAGTCCTTCCACAGATGTAATCGATCTGATTCCTATGTATACCATTAGCTGAAATCCATGTGTATAGCCAGCTTTTTTTGAAAAAAAAAAGTATATTTTAAATTTTATTATTTATTTA